GTGTTGCTTATTTATAATGCAAATGCTTCAGTGCTTTAATGACATTTTGTTTTTCGCTTTCTGCATGAATACACAGTGGAATTCTTCTGCATTTCGCTTTTATGTGTAAGAACTCTGTGAAAAATTGTTCTCCACGTTCAGATGTCTGTAAATATTCCAGGAGTAGTCTTAATCTTTCTGTGTAAGTAGGAAAGCTGCATTGAAGCTAATGATAGGTGTAGTGTGAGGACGGGAAGTGAGAAGCGCTTTACCCCAGTCCCTACTTTAAAACCCGGAACTGAACTCTCTAGCTCTGAGATAATAAATTCCTTCATGTCAGCTCAAGTTATTCCTGCAGTAAATCTGCATGCAGGTACGCATCTGARTTGAAAGGACAATATTGTTTCTTCCCCCTCCTTCACTGTAAAGGACAGCAAGTAAGGTCCCATTTCTCATTCTTTGTGTGAGCATCTGAAAAACCTAAACATGGCTTAATTTAAAGGGGCATGTGGTAAAAATCCAAAGGAGTTTTAGCAATAAGGGAGTCTGTTAAACAGGATATTGTGGTTAAGTTCGAGTGTGTGGCTTTCCCCTTTTAGAGGATGCACAGAAATGGGATCTGGAAGGTGACACAAGGGAGTTCAAGTTTGCTCACTGATCCTAACATGGGTGCAAGCAGTGCTGTCAAGGCAGAAAGAACATGGAAATACATGCTTTTCTTTGCTGAACAGCATTCATCATAAAAAGCAATCAAGAGCTTGTTACATATTGAGTAGTGATTTGAAATAAAGAGACAGCATTGTAGAACAGTTCCTCCTCTTTGTTTTGCTATTATGTATTATCATGCTTAGTATATTACATAGTAGTATAGAGTTCTTACAATCAAAAAAGATTTCAATATGTTTCATAGAATCATGGAATAGTTTGGGTTGAAAGAGATCTTTGAAAGGTCTTCAGTCCAACCCTCCTGCCATGAGCAGAGACATCTTCACCTGGATCAGGTTGCTCCGTGTTCCATCCAGTGTAGCTTTGAATGTTTCTGGAGATGGGCATCCGCCACTCGTCTCGGTAACCTGTTTCTTTTGTCTCATTAAAAAAAAAAACACACAAACCCAAACCAAAAAATAATTGTTCCATCTATCTAGTCTGTACTTGTTCTCATTGGTTTAAAACCGTTAACCCTTCTCCTGTCAATAGAGACATGTTTGTTGTGCTTCTGTTCTTTCATTGGTACAAGCCATTATTATCTAAGCATCTCAGCAGCTGCACAAAGCATCGCATATGAAACATTGTATTAGAAAAGGTTGTTGGACTGKGATCTTCTTGAAATTGCTGTGTGAGGCTGTAAATGAGGTTTTTCTATGCTAATACACTGTAAAAACTTGGAATGTGGCAGGGTATTCATAGGCTCAGCTCCAGTATTCAATCT